GTGCTACTAGGTTGGCATCTCAGTCCCATAATCTCCTTTCACTGTCAAAATGGTTAAATGTAGCCATCTCTTCTTCATCCAATAGCTTCATGTCTCACACTTCCCATCTGTGGAACTCCCTTCCTCTTACTTGCTTCCCTGATAGCTATAATCTCCAAAATGGAAGAAAACAATATTCAAATGCAATGTCAATCGACATCTCCAGATGCCTTGATCTATTCCCTGTCCTTCTCTTCATCCTTTCCTCAAAACACCAATTTAATGATCTCTTTTATAGAGCACTCTCTGTAACCCTTAAATGCTAGTGAGAAATCCCTGGAAAATGAAATTTAAAAAAAAAATAGGGGTGAAAAAAATATATATTCAATATTAACAAAAATATCATAAAAATATTTTTTTTTTTTTTTAATGTCCTTCCTGACAAACCCAAGAAATCAAAAGATATGCATGTGTAGGAATGTAATAAATAGATATTTTTCCGTCCCAAAAATAAGTCAATTTGGTATAAAAATTTAAATATATTTTTTGGAAAAATTCAGTATATTTTTTCTTTATCAATGGTTTATTTGGAATCAAAATAGAAAGAGAAAATTCCAGAAACATCAGAAAAGAAAAGATATTAAGTGAATTTACATTTTTTAGATGTTTTTTATCTTTGTTGCCAAATTTATTACAATTTTTCGATGTGTGTTTTAACTGACCAGAGTTCAGGCAATATTTTCAAACCGAATGGTAATCTCATAATATAGACATATAATAAGATATTATGTTTCACCAATCAAAGTAAAATGCTTATATTTTAAATGGAATTATTTTTGTTTACATATTTTATTTTACTTGGCTTTTATTGAGTCTCATGACTTATTGGATTATTCTGTTTAATATAGATACGACACACCCAAAACCATAGGAATAAATGTCCAGATCTTTATTTCTGATAAATACAAGGAAAGTTTATATCAAAAACTAATATTTAATGCATAAATGGAATCAAAAGTTAAATTGATTATAAATTTAATATATCAATGGAAAGTTAGAATGAGAGTAATATAAATGACAATTTTTGGGAACTAAATAAAGAAAAAAAAAATATATTGTATATATATTTTTGATATTTATTTAATTTTGGGGACCGATTCAAAACTATTTCTGCTAGAAAATTCATAAAATTTTTTTTTAAAAGAGTGTCAGTGACCGTTAAACCCAGTCTGTTATTTAACATTCATTTCATTTGGAATTCAAAACAATTGGAAAAATCTTGAGACTATCTAATTTCAGACTTCATATAAACCCATAAATTTGGGAAATGTTCAAAAAGAGATAACTACAACTGAGCGATTTCTCTATTCAATGCAAATTATTCCAAAACAGAAAAGCTGTCCTTCCTGACAATCTCCTGATCATAAAAAATAAAATTAATTATAAGGTGAATTTAATTTTGAATATTTTCAATATTAAATAAGTTAGATTTTGGCTCCTGCATACACTCTGAAAATAGTTTTATAGTATCTCCATCTTATTTTCTGGATTGGTTTAACTTTATCTGTTTCTAGTTCTGGTTTTTGAGAAAAAAAATTCAGATTAAATAAAAAAACATTTCAATTGACAAATAATGAAAATTAGGACAAAGAAGAGACCAAAAAATTTCTTGAGACTGTCTTATAAAATTGAAAAGATAAAACATTTCTTTACTTTAAAAATAGAAATGTTTTTAACATAAAATAATAATAAATAATAATTTAGAAAAATCAGACAAAACTAAAATGATTTTAACTTGATGAAAAAGACCCCTTTTCTCCCCAATTCCAATGGATTCATGTTCTGTGTTTGTAATCTTGATTAATAATGACAAATTTTGATTTAAAAAAATCAGACCAATTTTTTTTTTCATAATATACTCTTTTAGTCTAGATATATATATATCACTTGGATAAATGTTTATATATATATAAAATAAAATATTTTTTGGACAAAAATCAGACCAATGAAATGAAACCCCAGGACTAAATAACTTTCATCTTGATATAACACAATGAACATTGAGAAATGTTTATTCCTTTTTAAATATTTGTTTACAAAAGGAATAAATGGAATTCTGAAAAATATAGGAAAATGTTTCATAAATGATACAAATATATATAACATAAATAAATACTGCCAGATAATGTTCATCAATTGACAAATGTACTATAATAAACATAATGATAAATGTTATATATATAAATGAATGGTGATGACAATAATTATATTATATATGTGTGTCTGTGAACATTTTTCTATTTATAAAATGGAAATGTGAGTGGTTCTTTTTTCAAATTAGAATAAAATAATTTCAAAAACGAAATACTTATTTATATTCAAATCCTTTTCAACTGTGGTAAAGATGGTCTAAAACTCTGAATTTCAAAAGATGTGGAGTTAATTTAAATTTATGTTTGAACTGTTAATGTTATTGTTAAAATGTTTTAAAATATTGTCTTTTCAGATTCAGATATATATGTTTTATGATATAGAAAAAACGTTTTTTATTCTGAACTGATTGTTTATTTTCTCATTCCATACAGGAAATTTTATTAATAACCAAAAGTTCATTTCTTTTTTCTATTAAATTTTCTCAGTTCTTAATTTGAATGACACTCATAAAGAAATTTGGTTATGATTAGCATTAATGATTTTTTTTTTTATATTAGTTCACATTAAGGGAGAAAATAAATTTAAATATAATAATAATATATATATATATAATATTTATATCATAAAAAAATTAAAACCGAAAATAACAATTTTTCAAAAAGTTAACCCTTATTTAAGAGATTGGGACCTTAACAATCCCTGTCTACTTTTAATGGGTCAAAGACTGAATAAAAGAAAATTCCATGCAGAAAAAAAATAATTCTCTCAGAGGAAAATGTATTTTTAGTTTATCAAATTTACCCAACAGATATTATTAAATCTTTGATCCCTAGCAAATGGCAAAATAGATGAAATGCAATGTATTAAATGGGTATTACTATATGCTCAAAAATGAATGCCAAAAAAAAAATTTGAAATCAAAAGCAAAAATAATTCACTATTAAAAATGAAGTAAATAAACAAAATAAATTTCCAAATGTTATCTATATTCATCTATCATCTATCTATCCCCATTATCTATTAGAGGAATAAATATATTTTTCAATATCTAACCATATTTATTCTAGAAATATCAAATCTAAAATGATACAGGTGAGATCAAATAAGATATCTATCTATCTCAGATTATTTATATAACAAATTATTCTCAACAATCAAAATATTTTATGAATCTATCAACAATAATTCTTAAATAATTAATTCTATGGAATCTATACAATTAGTCTGTTAAATATAATCTATAAATTAATTTTTCCATTTTTGTCATAATTTCTTTCTTTTCAGATTAATCAATCTATCTATCATAATTATTGAATCTTTATTCAGATCTATCTATCTAACTATCTATCTATCTATCAAAAAAAATCCTTTTAATTTGGCTAACATTTGTTAAAATTTCAACAAATTAAAACAATATAGGCCTTTTTTTTAAAGGAATGTCATATTTATGTATCACTTAAAACATTTGTTTCAACAAAATTCAAATGACTTTCCAAGGAAATAGAAGCAATAAAATCAAGACTGTAAAACTGTTCATCTAAAATTAAATGACCAAACATGTGCAAGTTTTGATTGGCATTAAACGATCCTAACTTAGACACAGTTCTGAAAAACTTTTATTTTAAATTGATATTGTTGAAATACCATTCCAAAATGCAAAATCATGCTTAAAGCATTTTATACTTCAAAGCCAAGTCATAAATGCAATTATATACCCAAAAATGGAGGCTTATCTGAAATCTGTTCCACTAGGAATGAAATTGTTTTAGTTTATAAACAGAAACTAAAGCATAAGGAACCTGAACGAAATATGCTAGACGATTTAAAAATTTTAAATTTCACTCTTCCAACGTGTTTTGTCCTCAGATGGACTTATTAAGATAAATATAAAGATTTTATTTTTATAATTATATTTATAAAAAAATAAAAATATATATATAGATCAAAATTTTTAAAAATTCTAGAGCATATTTGATTTAAAAAAAATTTGATACTCACAAGAATAAAAAAACATATATTTTCCCTAGATCAGGATTTTTTAGAAATTCATTAGAATAAAATATTTAGAAGAGATGAATTAAAAATATTAAATATATAAATGATAGGAAATTATAGATATAGATCATTATATCTTGAAAAAAATGGCATTGAGAAGATAAGATAGAAAATAATAAAATTCACTAGCCAGATTCATGGGTACTATATTGAACCTTTCATGACATTTCTCAATTGGGGTGACATTCACAAAAGATATATTTCTAGACATAGGGAGATTAGATTTTTTGCCTTTCCCAAGGGAAATAGAAGAAAACGAACACAAATGATATTATCCAGATAGATTAATTTAATTTGATTGGTACTTACACTATATTTATTCATAAATATTTTATTTCCTGAAAGTGACATTTAATCAATCTTTTAGAGAATGTTTAGAGTAAGATGCATGGATAATGTCCAGCCAGATTTCTATTCAGTCTTTTCTATCCATTTCTAATCCACCTCTTAATACCATAAATTTTTTAGATAGATAGATAGATTTTTATGAAATATAAAACTTACTATTTCATAAATAAAAAATGTTCTCTTGGATGGTAATGTGGAAAGATTATGAAAATTTATTTTTAACTCGGAATAGTCTTTATAAAATGAACAGGGATATATTTTACTATGTTTATTATAGATTTGCCCTGAAACAGAATACTAATAAACTTACGTTTTTTTGGTAACCTTGAAACTCTCTAGATATATGATCAATTTAAAGATGCTGGAAAATGGTTGGTTTTTTGATAAATATATAGGGCCTGATAGATATGTTAGTCTCTATTTTTTTAAGCTATGGAAATAGATAGACAGATATGAAATTAAACTGAGATAGATAGATGATATATAGATAGATAGATAAATAGATATTGACACAGGATAGATAGATAGATAGATAATGAGGATTGAGAAAGATAATGAATAGACTGATATAGATAGATAGATAATGAAATAGACTGATTAGATTTATAGATAGATAGATAGATACAAACAGACTGACATAGATAGATAGATAGATAGATATTTAATGAATAGATAGATAGATAGATAGATATATAGTTAGATTTGAATAGATAGATAGATAGATATAATTCATTTGATGATAGATAGATAGATAGATAGATAATTAATAGATAATAGATAGATAGATAGATAATGAAACAATAGATATAGATATTAGATAGATAGATAGATAATAGATAGACTGAGATAGATAGATAGATAATGAACAGACTGACATAGATAGATAGATAGATAGATAAATGAACAGACTGATATAGATAGATAGATAGATAGATAAAAATAGACTGAGATAGATAGATAGATAGATAGATAATGAAATAGACTGCAATAGATAGATAGATAGATAGATAAATATAGATAGATAGATAGATAGATAGATAGATAGATAATATATATTTATTTATAGATAGATAGATAATAGATAGATAGATAGGATATATAGATAGATAATGAAAAGATGACATAGATAGATAGATAATGAAGATAGATAGATATAGATAGATAGATAGATAAGATAGACTGGATTATAGATGGATAGATAGATAGATAGATAATTGAACAGACTGAAATAGATAGATAGATAGATAATATAATATACTGATATATATATATATTTATATATATATATATATATATATATATAGATATATAAAATATTTATTATATTTATTTAGATAGATAAATGAATATTGAGATTAGATAGATAAATAATTAATAGATATATATATATATATATATATATATATTTATATATATATATATATATATATATATATATATATATATATATATATGAATATAAATATATGGATATAAATATACAGTATGAAAAGAAAAATACTGAAAAAACAAAATTCTGAATATGCATTATTAATGTTAAAATAAAATCGACGTCGGACGTTTCGGTCTATTTAAGACCATCTTCATGGACATTTTAAATTTAAACATAATTAACATTATAACTTATAAAAATTTAACACAAAAGACGATGGACATAAGAGCCCAACTAATTCAGACAGATAACTGAAATTTTATACAGATCAGCGTTCTGTTTAAATATGATCACGTAGTCGTCACGTGGGCGATGTTGTTAAGACGTATTCGAAGATGATTTCCAAAATTAAAAAATATCAAAAATTCGAATGAAAATTTTTATAAACAATTAAAGAAATCTCTTCCGTTGATGTTGGAATACGTAGTGATCAATTTTATCTTATATCTTCAACAAGCTTGAAAGTCTTTCCGTTACAATGCAAATCCAAAAAATGATTTTAAAAAACGATGGAACAGTTCTAAAAAACAGTTCGATAAAATTGTTTATTCTTTATTTGATCAATATTGTCCCTATTCCAAGCTTGAAATCTTCCACGTTATAAAAAGTAAATTCAGATTTGTATATTTTAAGACAAACGAACAAATACAAAATTATTTTCTATTAAACAGAACGCTGATCTGTATAAAATTTCAGTTATCTGTCTGAATTAGTTGGGCTCTTATGTCCATCGTCTTTTCTTAAATTGTTATAAGTTATAATGTTAATTATGTTTAAATGAAAATGTCCATGAAGATGGTCTTAAATAGACCGAAACGTCCGACGTCGATTTTATTTTAACATTAATAATGCATATTCATAAGGTTAATTTTTTCAGTATATTTTCTTTATATATATATATATATATATATATATATATATATATATATATATATATATATATATATATAGATAGATTATATAAAAAAAAATTTATAGATAAAAGATCATTAAAAGATTGAGAGATATAGATAGATATAAATTTATTAATGAAATAGATTCATAGGATTTATAGATAGAATAGTGCATTATTGTTCATATAGATAATGAATTTAATATAGATTTATAGATAATAGATAATTAACAGATTAGATAAAAAAAAAATATTTTCTTTTCTTTTTTATTTTTTTTGAATAGAAGACAGATTTTAAATATTTTATTAGATTTGACAGAAATCAGATAGACTTTGATATTGAAATAAATTGGGTTTGTATTATATAGATAAATAAAGAGAAACCAAGATAATGAAATAGACTGAGATAGATAGATAGATTTAGATTGATACTGATTTTTTTTTTTTTGATAGATTTAAATATGAACAGATAATTTAAACACACTTTTTAAGATTGATTATGTAATTCAAAACATTATTTAGATATAGGTTCACTGGAGATAATAATTAACAGTCTTTTAGGTATATTTAGATGGAAACATAGAATTAAAGAAAATTAGATATATAGATAGATTTGTAATTTAACAATAGATACATAGGTAATGAACACATTAAGATAAACAGAAAATTCATTATATTGTGAGACAGACAAAAACAGACTGTGATAGATTTTATTTAACACAAAGGGTTTTCTAATATATGAGTGATATAATTTGAATAATATTAATTAGGAAACATCAGAAATTTTCAAATGATGTGGAATTCAGTGTTGAACTAAATAAATTTAAAAAAAGTTCATCTTTAACAGATTACATTATTTAATGAGGAACTTATATTTCAACTGATTTTTATATATTTAGATATATATATATATATATATATATATATTTATATATATATATATATATATATTTATATAATTAAATAGTGCCAGCCTGATTTATTTGCTTTTTTTGATTGAGCAAAATACCATTGAAGCCAAATTCCTTTCTTCCATGCCTGTAGAATGTTTTACCCAAGAATAAGAGGTTTTGTAAATATTAACATTTAATTTAGTTTCATTTGTCCATAAATTCTTGAACATTATATAAATATTTGATATAAGATGTATGAAGGTTTAGATTTTACTGTGTTTTATGAGAAAAAAAATTTTTAAGTTCCTCATGGGATTATGCATAGCATAAAATAAATCCTAGATTTGAAGAGGTTTAATTTGTAGTGATTATTGGATGTTGTTGATTTTTTTTCCGTAAACAAAATATAATGCTTTATAAATCAACGAATCAAAATTCAAATATTTAAATTTCTCATTACATTTTTTAGAGGTGTTGATATGCTAAATTAAACAAAATAACCAATCAAAAATTCAAATAATTTAATTTCGCATTACATAAAAAATAGAGGTTGATATGCCAACTAAACAAAATCAACTAACCGAATAGTGATTGTTTTTTTTTAAACTAATTTTCATCCAAATTATTCTTTCTCAAGAGCCATATGATAAAGATGGTTACCTATGGTGTTTTATGTAGTGAACATCTTCTGTATTGTATTAGTGTTGGTGGTTTGTACTAAAGTTTGTACTGCTACTCAGTTGGTTGAATGAAAGTGACTAAATCAGGAATTAATTAATGTTTTGACTAATTGACCTCATCAAGATTTGCTACTAAAAAGTTGTACTGGTGACATCTGTGTATAAGAAAGGGTAAAAAGAAGTTATATGGGCTTGTAAAGATAATGGATAACACTAGACTTGAAGAAAGAAAAATAAGCTGTCTGATAGAACTTTCCTACTAATTTAATAAAAAGGGAATGAAAATGATTCAACAAAGTAATTTGAGTTCAGTTTCTTAAATTGTAAAGGTCAGGGTTGAGGATTAAGAAAATTGAAAGCCTGTTAATAACACATGCCATAGAAATAATTAAACTGGCAAGAAATACTGAAAATCAGTATTTTTACAAAAGATTGTTTAGTATGATGTTTCATAATTTCACCATTTAAATCATTTTTAATTTACTTTTGTTTAAAAAAAAAAAAAGAGCTTTGAATATTATTAGAGGGTTACTGCATGATAAACTATGCATAAAATTTTTACCAAGAAGTGAATTCATCAGGTTATAAAGATAATGGCAAACCCAAAGAAATAGAGGTCAAGATTGTCTAATTGGGAAATATATAAACCATAGTCTGTTCCATTAAGCAGCAGTTCTTTTTTAGAATCTTCTGAGTTGAACTTAGATCTTACTAATGGAATACAAAGAGAATTTTTTTTGGGATTCAAACTTGTCAGCTATTCAACCAATAATGAAAAATGAAAACAGCTACATTTTGAAAATCTGTTTTCCTGAAAATTAAGCCAAGAGAAGGAATTAAAAAATTTGCTTGGTCAAACTGAAAGCCAAATATCGCCATTACCATTCTGCAGAATCGTGTATTCTTAAATTTCCTTCATCTATAAAATTTCAAATCTGCTACCATCTAGGATTCCCAATTCCACCTTGTCAAATTATGAACCATTATGAGCTCATTTTTCAATCATTTATACCAAGTTACATTGAACGTAGTCATTTTGTTGCATTGTATAGTTGCTAATTTGAATAATGTTTAAGAGTTTTCTTTGATTTTTGTATTTAAATGAGCATAATACTAATCCATCTACCTGTTCAATTATGTCAAATCACCAGAGGCAATTCCTCCAAAACGACACCGATCAAAAAAGCCTGATACATTGCTTTTTAAGCTATTTCTTTAATCAGATCCTGCTAAAAAATAACTTAACAGAACGCAGTTTGTTATGAGCGTATTTATGATTTTATACCAGTTACTGACCAACAGTGAAATGACAAAGGTGTTAATGATTTTTTTTAACATTTACGGCAATTATTGTTTATTTTGAATTTAACTCCTGATATTCAAAGCTAATGAAGATATCAGGTATTTGGGGAGAAATGCAAAGAAAACATGACTTTAAATAATTCATATGGCACTGGGAGAGAGAAGTGCAAATAAAACACCTAGTGCCCAGGATGTACCTAATAGTCAGTGTCGGTACAAGGGTTCTCAAATTTTTAAAAAAACCCAACCATCGCCACTGTAGTGTATCACAGTTTCCATAAGATAGTATTCATATAAAATACGAATTTTATTGTAACCTAATTATGTACTGTAGAAAATTGGTTCTCTGTGTCGTACCAGAAGGTTTTTCTCACCTGAGTCCCTCCTACAAATCTACAAGTCAGCCATTCGTCCTTGCATTAAATACTGCTGCCATGTATGGTCTGTTGGTCCCGCTGTTCATCTTGATGCCTTCGACAAAATCCAGAGACGGATATGCAACATGGTTGGTCTTAATCTGATGTCCCATCTGCAGTCGCTATCTCACAGACATGTTGTGGCTTCCTGCTGTCTTTTCTACAAGTACTTTCATGGCAACTGCCGCGACAAGCTAATTTTGCTGGCTCCCGAACTGCATGAATTTAAGCATGCTACTAGGTTGGCATCTCAGTCCGACCTTTTCACTGTCGGAATGGCTAAATGTAGCTAGCCATCACTTCTACTCCAAGAGCTTCTCATCTCTCACCTCTCGTCAATGGAACTCCCTTCCTATCACTTGCTTCCCTGATAGGTATAATCTTCAAATATTCAAATGTAATGTCAATCGACATCTTCTATATGCCCTGACATTGATCCTTGTCTTTCTCTTTATACTTTTCCCAAATACTCCTCTTTACTCTTACTCTCTGTAACTCCTTGCATGCTAGTGACAATGCGGCCTTGCTTGGGGCAATTTGCTTAAAAAAAAAAAATATGATACT